TGATTTCGATGTGAGAGTCTCTATTTGAACTAATCAACTGTAATTTTTTTTTGTACATTAAAATAAATTATAAAACAAACACAGTATTTGCTAAACTCTCTCTCTCTCCAACGCTTAGCCAGTCGGCTATAGCCATCGTTCATCATTTGGCCCGTTCCTGCGCAACCGCGAAGGCTTGACGGCCTGAGAGTCTAACATCAGAACAGACTCGATGAACCCATGTAATAAGGGGTCTGCCTCTGGGCCGCCTCCACCCCTCAGTTGGTGGAATTTTACAACTGAGCCACCTGGAGAACAGCGTTTGCTGGAACGGCTTGTGGCATCTTTGAGACATGCCCAAAAAGCGTAAGGTGCCGCCTGAGGACAATGGCCCCAGTAGTCTGTAGACCCGAATGACCATAAACATCTGCATTACAGATGAAGTCATTCCACTTTATGCCCAATCTATGACGTTGACATTTTGCGTGGACAGCCTCCAGCTCTGCCCAGTCTGCGCGGCAGAGCGTCCATGTTTCGCAGCTGTACAACACTATGGGAAGGATGCAGCTCGAATAAATCCTGAACTTGGTTGTCATACTAAGATGATGTTGATTCCATATCCGTTGTAAGTGGCCCATGGCACATGCTGCGATGCCAATCCGATGGAGAACCTCCGTGTGAGAATTGGAGGAGCTGATAAGTATAGAACCCAGATCGCAAAAGCTGGAAACTGATTCAACAGTTTCATTGTTCAAAGAGATTGGAGTTGCAGGTGGACCTGGTCTTAGATTTTGCAGTTTTGTCTTTGACCATGAAACATGGAAATCAATTTTAGCTAACTCCTCCTCCTCCATATGCTGGAGTGCCTCACAAAACCTGTTGGGACTCTGTATGAAAAGAACAACGTCATCAGCGTAGTCAAGGTCTGTGAGTGAGATATCGCCAATCTCAATGCCTATGGACCTGACGGAATGCTGCATTATGAAGTCCATTGCCCGACAAAAGAGTGCAGGGGCCAGAATGCAACCCTGCCCAACACCAGATACCGATTTAAAAGACACTGACATCCGGTTCCCCAGACGAACATGGGTAGTGGTTCCATTAAGAAGCTCTCTAATCAAGTCCAGCAAAGTGGTAGGGATACCTATGCCCTTTAAGGCCTTCCATAACGCGACACGGTCTACTGAATCAAATGCAGCCTTAAAATCAACATATGCTATGTGCAGGTGCTTCTTGAACTCACAATGTATTTCTGACAATAAGCGAAGGACCAAAATGGCATCTAATGTGGATCTGTTCCTCGTAAAGCCTGACTGCTGGGGACAACGCTTCCAATGTAGCAAAGGCTCCAGGCGTGCCAGGAAAACATGTGCAAACACCTTCCCTGTAATGGAGAGCAAGGTGATGAGCCTGTAGTTCTTACATTCATTCCATGGTCCCTTGCCCTTATGGAGTTAGGTCACAATGCCGTCCTTCCAGGCGGTTGGCAGGCTTCCAGTTCTTCACACCAGACGAAAGATGGCCAGAAGTGAGTCAGCTAGAGGATCAATAGCACATTTTAGCAGCTCTGAGGGGATGCCATCAGCACCGTCTGCGTGTCCGTGTTTCAGTTTAGAGATGGCACACTTCACTTCATCCAATGTTCGTGCATGAGTACAAATGTCTGGATCCGGTACCACAGTGACTGCCAGATCAACCAGCTCTGAACAAGCGACAGCTGGAGGATGGTTCAGGACACAGAGAGAATGTCATCATCTGATTTACATGGATGGCCTTGGCTGTCGTTCAGGATGCGGTTTGTAGTGACTACCTCGACCGCTAACGTGCAGTACACAACTCAACCATTAAGCCTACTGTCCTGCCCCTGATAGAAGCCAATACCTGAAGAGACGAAGAAGCCTCAGTAATGTAGTTGGTCAATTGCATGACCCACTACACAGACAGTACGACGAATTCTTTTATGACCCTTGTGGCACTCAGCTTAAGTCCTAAGGAAGTTTTACTGTATGCACAGTAATTTTTTTTATAAGAAATTTAACAGATCTTTAATGAATTCATCTGACAATAGTTGACCATTCTCAAAGTGCTTCTTTTCTATATTTCTGGGGTCTAGTCAAATTGCCTCTGTGTGCCTCGGTTTCCCCACATCTGTAAAGCATGTAGTGAGACTTAGTCTGTGTAAATTATATTAAGAGCCTCACAGGAGGAAATTCTACAGAAGGGAAAGATCATATCTGTTTTTCTCCGATATAGAATGGAAAACTAAATGCAGCCCCTTATGACGTATGTTCTTACTTACCTCTTCTATTAAACTCTGTTTGACTTCTAAACCTTTCTTTGTGGTTTTTGTTAGGGAAACTGAAAGAAAGAAGAAGAGCTTCAGCATTATTGATAACTTGGGCACTGCTTATGTAAAGTACAATTAAAAAGCATAGAAATGTGGCTGCCAAATACACTCTGGACATCAGCTTTAAATGAACTCAAAGACTTTTGACTCATTTCTAGAAGACCATGTGCAACCTTCTAGCACTGATGCTTTGCTGGGAGCGCCCACATGGTTGTAGGATCAGGGTTTCCTTTACTAATTAAAACCATGAGCTACAAACCATCATTGAAATAAAACATTTCAGGGTTTCATATTACACTGACATGCAACAGCACATCGCCAGATATTTGCATCATCCCAGGTAAGAGGCAAGGAACTCATGAATAGAAAATAAACAGTGTTACTGAGGCTGCCAAATTGGTTCTATAATTCCCAGACCAACTAACACAGCCTACTCTGCCTAATGTCCGCACACAACTCCCCCATCCCCAACCTCAGTAACAATGAGGAGTCTGGTGGCGCCTTAAAGACTAACAGATTTATTTGGGCATAAGTTTTCATGGGTAAAAAACCCACTTCTTCAGATGCATGGAGTGAAAATTACAGATACAGGCATAAATATATATACTGGCACATGAAGAGAAGGGAGTTACCTTACAAATGGAGAACCAGTGTTGACAAGGCCAATCCAGTCAGGGTGGATATGGTCCACTCCCAATACCTGAGAAGGAGGTGTCACTACCACGAGAGGGAAAATTGCTTTTGTAGCGCAGGTAACTCCCTTCTCTTCATGTGCTAGTACATATATTTATGCCTGTATCTGTAATTTTCACTCCATGCATCTGAAGAAGTGGGTGTTTTACACACGAAAGCTTATGCCCAAATAAATCTGTTAGTCTTGAAGTGCTGCCAGACTCCTTGTTTTGGTGGATACGGACTAACACGGCTACCCCCGATACTCAGACCTCAGTAGCCAAACAACCAACATTACCCAAAAGAGCCACAGGAGTGTGAATTTGTTGTTTTGTTTGTGATAAAAAACTCTCACAGCAAACTGCCTGGCCAAGTGTTCCACACTGGGTTTAGTGCCATAGTAACAGTGGCTGTTAATTAAATCAGTGTTTTTATACCACGTGCTGCACGGAGCCGCGGGAGAGACATTCACGAGCCCCCGGCGGCTCCCACGCCGCAGTATCACGGCGTTACGGCAGCCAGGGACCCACCGAGGGTGGAACAGACTCCACCGGGGCCCCACCTCAGCGGGGCAGGGAAGCCGCCACCGAAACGCGAGCGGCTCTGCCGGGCCCAGCCTCCCGCCTGCACAGGGGCGCCGGGCGGACAGCGCGAGGGGAGGGGGGG